TCTTAAGTTTTTCTTGGTACAACTATTTGGTTACTCAAAGTACACTGGTTTTCTCTCTTTCTCCCCTCCCCGCCCACCCCCACCCCCTTTCCCGCTGTACCGATCCCACCCCTCCCTCCTCTTCTTTTGCCTTCCTGTAAAGAAGGGGTCTCATTATTTATGATCTTTAATTTCTGGTTTCTCCACTAGATGGTAACCTGCATCATGGTTCGTGCTGTGTGCATTCTCAGCTTGCTCTGCTTGGTACCCTTCCTGCCTACGTCCTCTGCGACATACGTATCAAGAAACAATTTCCGTAAGTTTCAGCTACCTTTACGTCTTATCCGAACCGCAACTGAAACTCAGTTAACTGTAAACGAAGCATTGTTGTGTGAGCGGGGCTAATTAGATACAGTGGAACTTTCAATACACGTACCTCTTTCAACCTCGTCCAATGCATGCATAGACACGGGGAAAATTTCAATACATGCATGTTCCACTTTCAACCTCGTCTAAGGCATCTCATTGCAATGCACGAAGACAACATTGAATTCGATTCAGCCCCGTTGACGAGGTTTATACATGGCCAGTCGATATTCGTCGGTGTACTGTATTATTCCAGATTTTGTTCTCATCTTGCAAATCATGGCCACTTTTGGGTATTGAACTTTGTTTAAATGTGCAAGTGCAAAAGTTAGTTGACGTTGGCCAGGATCGATAGGCCACCGTACCACAAATTGCGACTATTGTAAACCAACCTCCATTTGCCAGGCTAATTCTAAAGCTGGCTAACATTTAAAAAAATTCGAAAGCTTTAATAAATTACTAATTATTCTATTTCTTGTTTCCGTGGTTTGAAACACAGAGCTGAGCAACTTTGGCGGGACCTCCCGTGACGTATCCTGCCGTTCAATAGTTACCGGTGGGGGCGTGATCAAGCTGATGAGTGGCCAACGCCGTGTGATTGGTTGTTACGAGTACACGTGCCCGGCCAGTGGTCTGATGGAGAGGAGGAAGTTAGTATAAAATTTGCATTTTTGCATAATTATAACCACGTGAACGACCGAATCGAACACCTGTATAGTCACGTGGTCAGGTACAACCTGTCTCGTGTCCTCCCTCTTTTTTGCAAAGTTGCCTTTCCCAATCGGGTTTTTATCGAAATGTGTGTTCCTTTGATCTGTTCAGAATAATTCCATGCAGTAAATTGGAGCAAGCAATGATTTTGGTTTTCATTTTGTATAGGCCAATTATAATATTTTAATTAATTTATTGATCTCCTTTGTTTTGCTTTGGCAGAGTCGACAGTTTCTTCAGGAAGTGCTAAACGGACATCGTAGGTCGTAACAACGAAAGCCTGGTTTTATGCTGTAGTAAAGGATTTTTTTTTTTTTAAACCCTGCACTACTTCTTTTTTGGGGAAAAGGTTTCGTGTACTACCATGCCATTAGTGTTTCTTCGGCGCTTGAATAATTGGTTGTATTGCTTGGCGCCCTCCATCGTCTAGTACTCTCTAATTTCCAAAGAGTGAAGCTAACGACCAGACGATTTAGAGTGAAAATCCCTCTAATTTTAGATTGAAATACACTGAAAAAAAGAGAGAACAAATCCAGTGGAAACTCGAGTGAAAACTCAATCTATATTCGAATGAATAAATTTCATTCACTCTTCGGAAATAAGACGGGAGTTATTTTGGCTTTTGGTCAGCATAGCACTACTTAAGTCTGTTTGGTCAGTTATAATTATGAATCCTATCTTGAATTTCTTCAACCAGCAATGTTAAAATCGCAAATAAGCGGGGGGCGCTCCTGAACAGAGCTATATAGGTTTTGGGTTGTATTCCCAAGCTTTTTGTATTGTGTAAACTGCTGTATGAAAAAAAATTAACTTGTGTACAGAGTCTGACAATATAAATGTGAAAAAAACCCATAATATTATGTCATGCATTGGTCATTTATGTTTAAGTTCATATAAACATAGTACTCCTTTTCGTCTTTTTTAGTATACATAATAATACACTCAACCAAGACAGATTTTAACAGTAATTGCAGTTTTGTATACGTGCAAGTTGTGGTTCACACTCTCCTTGCACGTTTTTTTTGTCATAAATTGCATAATTTTGTACGCATTATCACTGTTTCGGGCCAAACAAATAGTATGGCTGGATTGCTAAGGAATTTCTGTACTGATCAGTCGTAATTTGGGCAAGATGTACCCATGCAGTAGTTTTGAGTTAGACAAAAAAAAGTATTAAGGGGGAACTTTGTGTTTTGGTTGAGTGTATTAAATGGACGTATCTTACTTAAACAGCGGGCAAGTATTGTTGGGTTGTCTTTACTTCAGAACAACAGAATTAAAAATGGTGAGAAATATAGTTCAACAATGAGGTACGTTTCCATTTTTATTGGTCTACGTAAGATGTTTTGTGAGTTATTCAAGTCGGGCCTTATTTTTTTTAAGGTATTAAAAGAAAAACATTTAAAGTCCGATGAACTTGCGCGTCATCGAGCACTGTTATTTCGGTTGTGTACTATATGAACCTAGCAACCAGTTGTGTAACAAAAATGAACAAGTTGTGTAATATTTTACACAAGTTGTGTAAACAACAGTTTACACATAGGGTTGCTAGGTTCATATAGTACACAACCGTCTGATTTTTACACAACCGAAATAACAGTGAAAAGTTGGACATTTCTAGGTGCTCTGTGTGCGAGTCCCCATATAGATGGCCGTATATGAATTTCCATGAAACATATCAAACAAACTGGTTCGATATGTAAAGCATTTTTGTTCCACCACGTGGCATGCTAAGTCTTGAGTGCTCTCATAGATATCGTTTGTCGAAGATCACATTGATGGGCCATTATCACTGTTTGTGCTTGCCCTGGTCATAGATCATGCGTACTCTCGTACCCCTTGAGTTGAAGTGGTTGAATAAATTATGTGCAATTATGTCGATATTGATGAAATTGTGTGGCCAGGAGGCCTATATTATGATAGCAAGAGATAAAGAATGAAGGTTATCGTTGTCAACAAACAAAAATATAGTATTGTGGTTTGTACTGCGTTAAGCCCCGTGCAACCATGCTGGAACTTTGTAATTCGGCAATTCCAGTAGATTAATAACAAAGGGAAACTGACTACGTGTATTGAGTTGCACAAAGAAAATAACTGAGCGGGAATTGAATCTGCGACTTTTGAAAAACCGCGACTGTGCTCTACCAACTGGGCCATAGCTTATACTGTCTCCAATGGGACCTAAGTGAAGACAATGTGAAGAAATTACAGTTTTAGACGTGGGACATTATGGGCGTCGCCAGGATGGGATAAGGGGGTGGGTGGGGGGGGGGGGGGGGGGGCTTGCCAAAAAAGAAATGAAAGTGTGAAGTCATTATTTTGCTATTAATTTAATACACATTTGACAAATGGGCGTCTGCAGTGGTGTCAATGGGGGTGGGGTGGGTAAATGTCCCTCGCCCACCCTCGGAAAAAAATTGAGAATATATTATAGAAAGCACAAGGATTTTTTTGGGAAGTGTGCTTTGCCCCCCCCCCCCCGACAAAATCCTGGCGACATGATGTGAGAGGAAACCCCGGAATAATACCACGGAATCAGGGACTTGAAACCCACGGAATCAGGTAGGAATCGATGGAACCCGAGGCGTACGTAACCAACCGGCTGTGGTAAGGGTAACCTGTCTACATTTCATCACTGTTGTGCTGATGAGCGGCCCCCACCCCCTCCTGCAAAATAGATCCGCCCTGCACCGCCTATTGAGGGTTTCTGTTCAAACTACATTATTAAAAGTTTGCATCAGCGCTAGCGCCCTTTGGTTGGAAAATCGACGGTGTTGAAAAGCGATTTTCTATAGTTCACAGAAGAGATGTTTTATTCAATACCCGCACAATTTCAAACCTCGAAGTCATCAGTGATACTCCTGCGTTCCAATCATGACGTACAGAATCCCGTCGAGTGCACGAGTTTGTTAGCAATTTAGCTTTTTTTTTTTTAATTTATTATAATTTAAAGAAAAAGGGGAGGGGGCTGGGGAATCGATCAATGAACTTGTTTATTAGCTGGCCCCGCTCTTGATCCTTGTATCTAGTGGTAATCTGAATGTAGAACAACCTCGTTTCCATGTGTACGATCTTGCTGCGCCATGTTGTTTCCCTTCATGCCTTGCACGATCTTGAAGGAACGCGCACGCGCCCACGGAGTCGCCGAGGCCATTGATCTCATTGATCTCAAAATAGATAAATGATTGAGATCAAGGCTGAATCAATCATGGGCTGAATGTAGAATATTGTGGAAGTTAGGTAGCGCCCTCTTACGTGCACGTTTGTCCAATGTTCTTCCATATCTTGCGTGTCTTAGATTTTGTCTTTAAACTAAACACCAGATTATTCGGTTTGGCGTTAAAAGAGTATCGAATACCTGTGGAATCGCCTTCGCAGAACTTCAAGAGTTTGCATTCAAATCTGATAACACGGATTCGAATTTAAAACAAAAATTCTTGTCTTCTGCAATTATAATCGCCCAATTGGCACATGAGAAGTATACGGCGCAAAATGGTCTTTACCCAAAAAGAAGATTAAATAAAAAAAAATAATAATAATGAAATATAAAATTCAAAGGGGTCGAAATCGATAACGTGACAAATTGCAAAATAAATTATATTGCAATAATCTGATAGTCCGATTGTTGACTCAGGTGTACAAACTTTTACATGATTCTTTTTTTTCTTTAGATTTATTACATTTTCAAAAAACTGGGTGTTGTTTTCAGTGCAAATTAAAATGTTCAGCTGCCGACGGTTGAGTTTGCAAAAAAATAGGCCTTTATCAGACTGACAGATAAAATGTGGATAGCGACTGTTGGTTGGAATAATGCACCTACTTTTTTTTCAATAAGCTTTATTCCAAACAATTTGGACAAAAAAAATCGCTGCTAGCAAAACTTAAAAAGTTGCTGATATTCAAGTTTTTTTTCGATTCTTACAATGAGTACAGAACACTGGTATCGATACTTCGCTATAGCGCATGCATGATCACCGTGAAACCTGGGAGAGCTACGCTCATCTTTCTGCTAAGGTTTTGTGTTCTTCTTTCTCTGGCCTAAGGAACTCTCAACAGATTTTCAACTGCAAGTACCTGTAAGTAAAACTAACAGACAATCGATTGTAATTTTTGAGGTTTCTTTGATCATGTTAATGATTGTAATTTTTGTGTGAATTTGGTCGTACACAAACGTGTCTAACATGTCTAACTTTCTTAGCTATACAGTCAATGAGTCATGACACTATTGACCAGGTGACGGTTTAAAGAAAATCACGGGGGCTGCGAATCGACGAAAAATTTTCTCCTCGGTATATTACTTGGGTACACGTGTGATTTCGAATACTTTGTCCCTATGCACTAGGAGTAATTGCAGAATACCCCGCCACTCGTAAATACACCGCTAAAATCTCTGGCTACGCGGTGAGTTCGAGCCGTTGCGCTGCAGACAAAAGTTTCAAAATCATTTACGTTTTTTCTCTTTTAAAATTTGCTGGAATTCTCTTGAATGAACTGTTTTTGGAAAATGAAATAATACTTTATCAGAAAATATGTTTGATTCGGTTGGTCCTGGCTGAAAAAAAAATTGATTTTCTCGCATGATTTTTTTTCGCGTGAAGCAGTTTTGATCGATTCGGAACTGATTGAACATGTTGAACCGATCCGGAACTAAGAAAAGTGACATCGGTACTTTTGATGTCGTAAAATCAAAATAAAAAGAGCTTAAATTTTGAAAATTTAGAGTGAAACTCTGTCCATGTTACTTTTAATACATAATGATTTACCATTTGACCTCTGTAATTTCTGAAGAACACAGACAGTCCTTAGGCTCTAAAAAGAATTTGTACGGTACATTGATCATTAAGACCTTGCAGAACAGAACAGGAAATATACATGTAATTATTGAGCCTTATATAATCATTCATGATTTCTTCCTGTTTTTGATTTCTCCCACAGATTGCAATGAGTGCGGGTATGCGCAGGGTGTGTTTTGCCTTGGTGGTGGGCGTCTGTATCGGTCTCATGCCTTCCTTGGTCAACTACATGAGCGTGGACAACAAGGAAACCTCGGATCGTCATGTCTACCTCAGCGCAAAAGAGGTTGCCTCCCTTTACGGCCGGGGTAGCGTGCAGGCTGCATCCAGGGTACAGGCCCTCAAAGCTCCGTAAGTTTCTTCATGGGGTTTGCCAACTCGACTCGAACCAACTTGACCGTTTGCCAACTCGACCATTGTTCAAACTCGACCATTGTTAGAACTCGACCACTGTACCAAGTTGTCCGTTGACCAACTCGACTTCACACGTCGAGTCAACTCGACCGTTTGCCAACTCGACCGAACTTGACCGTTTACCAACTCGTCAGTTATGTAGAATAAGAAAAGTAGAAGGGTTCAAGAACTGTTTTAAGAGTTTTTGAGTAACCATCAAAGTTGGTTGACCTGTTGCTATTCAAAACGCACTTCGTCAGAAAAGGAAAACTACTGTACTATGTTTAGAACCATGTTCCTGGTTAAAAATGACTCACGTTCACAATGAACCAGATGGACAAAGGACGAGTTGGACAAAGAACGAGTTGGTCAACGGATGACTTGAACAACAGAAAGACTTGGACAACCAAAACGTGGACTAACTAAATTTGGTAAATCGGGGGCAGTATCTGGAAAAAGTCGGTTTGTTTCCAATGATGGTTGACCGATCATTGTTGGAAATTGATTCAAAAATGACAATACACTGTGTGCCACGATTTCACAGGATGCTTGAGGCTATGATTTACTTTACAGTCAAATAAGGTATAATAATTTGGAAGTTTTGTATTTTGATGTTTGCAAATATTGTTCATGTATATTTCCTTTAAATGTGCATCCATGTAAGTAAACCTGTCATCGTCCTCCTTGGCATGTCAAAGGTTATGTCAGTTGTGTTCAGAGTCTAAGATCATGCTTCATAAATTCGTATGAAATTCAACATTTCTTCTTGCAAGGTGTTAAAAGCTTGTTTGGGAGAGATTGGGGGAGGGAGGGTGAGAAACAAACATTGTAAAGTAAGGAATTTATTAATCAGTGAATTTGTTGGGTTTTTGTTTTGTTTGTTTGTTGGGGTGTGCGTTGATGACGTTCCAAAAAAGGTATCATGAAGTAAGGGCACTCTTGGGGGGGAAAAAGGCACATGGGGAAAAAGGCACTTGTAACAAAATGTTGGATGAATAACCCCCTTACAAGTATGTATGTATGTACATGTACGGGGGTATGTGTTCTTTTGTTGGTCATGTTACACAGGTAAAACATTTCCTGTCTCAAATTTCAATAAATTTCTGAAAACACAAAAATTTACTTCTCTTATAAATGATAGATAATGAAAAGTTTGAATTTTGATTGTAACCACAGGTCAAGCGAAGTCGGCAATCCCGCAGGTTCGCGAAAAATTCTCCTGGACTGCGGAGCCAACGTGGCCTCAACGGTGCAGCTGTTCCGAGAGACCTACCCCAATGGTCACGAGTACATTATTCACTCCTTCGAGATAGACGACCGACTAGCGCCGTACTTCAAACCATACAGGAATCATCATTTGCACTGTCCGGTGGGCGTGGCTGGAAAAGACGGTAGGCGGTTCATTCGATATTAGGTTTTGCCCTTAAAGTTGACGTCCCAGAGGTTTTTTGGGTGTGGCACCCTAAAAAAAAATTCATAAATAAAATTGATCATTTGTAAGCAATGGTAAAAGTTAGGAACTTTCAGAGGAGACACTGAACAAAAACATTGGTCCACGCTAGGGCTGTGGATCGGAACCGGGTACCCGAGTACCCGAGTACCCAACCATTAATGTCAGGAACTGGTTCTAGATTATGGGACCAGCACCCGATTTCATCAAACTCTTCGTAACTTACGATGCATCGCAGCGATGCGACGCGTCGTATCTCTACGACGCATCGCAGCTGCGACGCGTCCTGCGATCCATTTCACAAAACACGTCGTAAGTGCGACGCGTCGTAGGTGTATTTATAGCACAACTCGGTGACTGTTTTATGTATTTAGTCAGCGTACAGTAAATAGTCGTCTGATATTCAACAAAGAGTCGTCGGATCTCAGCTCGAAATTTGTTAAAACGTAAAACAAAATGGGTCGTGCGATGCAATTTTGAAGGAAAACAAACTCTCATTGGACTGTATAGCTACTTTGAAATTTCAATTCTAATATTCCGGTCTAATTCATAATTATTCAATGAATTTTCTAAATTTACAACTTAACACACATTGCCTCGGTATTATAATCTCGTTAATGTAATGTTTATGGCATAAAACTGGCTTAGAAATGACTCTTCTTATTTTGCGACGACCACTGACACGTCTTAACTTGCGACGTGTTTTAAGCCATTGTCAAGGAACTTACGACGCGTTCAACACATAGCAACTTTCGTGAAATGGAAGATACGACGCGTCGCGAGTTGCGACGCGTCCCAGCGCTTCATGAAATCAACTTTACAAATTACGTAGTAATACTTCTAAGTTCTCAGACAATGACAAAGAAAGGTTTTGAAGCCATTTGTGGGGAATTTTCAAAATGAAAACCAGGCTACTTGGGAAAACAAAAATTTACACCGTAAAGCTGTACAGTGCAGGGATACAATACACGACACATTTCGGTTTGTGAAAAATAACCCCTAATTACTTCAATAAATATGTGTTCCTAGAGATTGAATTTGATTGAAAACTGTTAATATTAAAGCTTGTAACCTAGGGAACCTAGATATACCAAACAAGAAAGAAACAATTCCAAGTTTTTGTTTCCATGGAACTCAGGAGACGAAAATGAGGCCCGAAAAAAACCCTGGAATTTCCATGTTACATCCAGAGCAGGATTTTCTTTGAACATGACTTTGAACCTCTAATGACTTTTTTTTTAAACCAAAAATCAGCCTTAAACTTTTTGTACTGATCAAGTCATTTATAGCAACAAAAAAAATCCACAGGATTTTGCCTACCGGTATTTCTATTATTGTCAAAGACTGCTTTCACTCACATCGCCTGGCCTGCGATGGAATATTTTCGTGGGACGTGCATTCGGTTTGTTAATGACTTTCTTAACTGATAATTCATTTCAGCAACAGATCTTTTCTTATACCAGCACATTTAATACACATTTGGATGTCATATTATTTTTCAAGGCTCGACGTATAAGCCGCCCTATGTATAAGCCGCAGTAAACATTTTCATGGGCTAAATCAACGTAGCTGCGGCTTATATTCCGAAAATTACGGTACTCCTGATACGAGCTCTGTAACTCAAGTCCCAAAAAGGTATCTTTTATTTACTTGATCACTGTCACCGTTTTTGTACACAACGGTGTCCACCTCTACACAATTCATTTTGAGGGGATTTGATATTTTTTGTATCTTATATTGCAATGATACATGTATTATAATACTCCAAGGACAACTTTCAGGTTCCTGAAAATTCTCTGCACAGTATAGAACTGAGCTTTGAAGGACACCAAGTTATGTATACTATATATGTACAAAAGATTCCAATTGTGGCTCACTTCCCGTGAACGTGTATCTTCTTTCGCAATGTCTTGCTCCAGCAGCTTCTTTTTATGTTTCCATGTCCATGGGCTGTAGTAAATACCCTGACATGAAAAATTGATTTAATATCCGTTATCCATTTTTGTAACATTAATGTGTCGTGTATCATATCCCTGCACTAAAGCTCACTGTACGCACTTGTACCGGTATCTTGCTGTGTAAACAATCTCAACCTCAACTTCCGAGATTTGAATTTTGTCATGTTTGGTGTTGTGTTTCTTTAACGGGTAGCCGGGTACCCATGTTTTTTTTTTCAATTGGGTACCCGGTTCCTGTACTACCCGTAAATGCACACCCCTAGTCCACGCTAAGTTGTCAATTTTTTTTATTCAGATTTTACTTGACTCTTATAGGCAAGATACAACATTTGCAAACATCAAAAAAACGAAATGATCACATTATCACAACATACCTAATTGGATTGTAAGGGAATGACAGTCTAAAGCACCTTGTAAATCGTGTCTCCTGGTGTGCCGACATTGTCAAAAAAAATTGTATTTTTCCAACGCTGGTCGGCCGACCAGCGTTGGAAAAAACTGGCTTTTTTTTAAAAAAAAATCACAACAGTTGTTGCGTATTTTCTTAGCAATTGATTCCACACCTGTGAAGGGGTACCAGCCTGCCAGACTGATTCTCTGACCTTGCAATTCCCCAAAGTCTATAAATTTCTCTGTTTCATCTTAAGTGGGGTCTGGGAACCAGACTACTAGAACATGATTGGTTTTCTTGGTTTTTCCAGCATTTACATGCCCAAAACGTGAAACAAGTCAGTTTAACAATACTTGCTATAACATACTAATCCTCCAAATCCATTTATTTCTGAAAATTGCAGCCGAAGCAAATGTTGTACATTCCCTTTAAGTTTGGACTTCCCGGTAACTCAGTAGCCATGGCATCTGCTGCCATCACAAGCCAGCATAGAATTTTGCCATCAATATCATTGATTTCGCCATCAATAATAAACACGCGTGCCACATTAATGGCATATTACTACCCATAGTACTGGACTTTGTATTACAATTAATTTATTCACCGAGGAAGTAATAAAAATCATAGTGCTGGGGTGGTTTATGGCGTGTGTATGAATAGATAATCTGATAATGGCATTGGCTTAACTACCAATTTGTAAGCATTTCCTCGCATGAATGAAAATTAAGTAAACGCTTAAATTACTAAAAACCACTTGCTTCAATCTGAAAATAATTACTTTTTATCTTTTAGCTTTTGCTACACTATAACTTAGCGTTTACTTTGTTTCATGTGTATAAAAAGGAGTAGGCCCCCCCTGAATGCTTCAGATTTCAAATATTTACTTATCATATTTCAAGGCCAGGTTGGGGCTACCTTGAAAATATAAAAGCATTTTATGTGCAAAAAATACTGCATTTATTAATGTTAATCACGAAAAATGAATATTAACCAAGTTCATAAAGTACCATGTTCGTACATGTATAAATAAAACATGTCATTTGCTTTTACTACCAATGTTTTAGCATTTACTCGCATCTGTATGAATGAAAATTAAGCAAACGCTGTTACTAAACCTACCATTTGCTTAAATCTGAAAATAATTATCTACCTTTTAGCTTTTGTTACACTATAAATATAAGCGTTTACTTCATTTCATATGAATGAAAAGGAGTACATTGTGTAAATGCTTCAGATTTCAAATATTTATTTGTCATATTTCAAGGCTGGGTTGGGGCTACCTTGAAAATATAAAAGCACATCATGCGCAATAATTACTGCATTTATTAATGTTAATCGCGAAAAATTTATTGATAAAAAATAATATAAAATTTCATAAGGTATTAATAATAATACCATAGTCAGTGAAAGTACGCATGAATAACAACTGGCATTTGCATTGACTACCAATTTTTAAGCATTTACATGTACTTGCTATGTGTATGAATAAAAATTAAGCAAACGCTTTTACTGAAACCCATTTGTTCTTGAATATGGCCTGCACAACGTAAAGTTTACAGGTTTATAAGTTTATCAGAAAGTACAATTATCGTATTAAACTTTCATATAAAATTTCATAAGGTATTAATAATAATACCATAGTCAGTGAAAGTACGCATGAATAACAACTGGCATTTGCATTGACTACCAATTTTTAAGCATTTACATGTACTTGCTATGTGTATGAATAAAAATTAAGCAAACGCTTTTACTGAAACCCATTTGTTCTTGAATATGGCCTGCACAACGTAAAGTTTACAGGTTTATAAGTTTATCAGAAAGTACAATAATCGTATTAAACCAAAACGGAAAGCGGCTTTTGTGTGCGCAGCGCGTATGTACATGTATACTCAGTGCGAATTTGTAGCTTCCCGCGCGTTGACTCAATGCGCGGGAAGGTACAAATTCACACCGAGTTGAGCTAGGTCACGTGCTGCCGAGGACAGTATACATTTTAGCTGTATGGATTTATGTTATTTTTTTGCGCGTCCACTAGCACTAGAGACCACAAAAATGGCGCACATTTTATCACACACTGAACTGGGGCGTATGCATGCAGGCGCTGCCGATATTCTTCATCTATGGCCGTAATAGATCTTTATCATGCTGCCACCATTTCAGTCATGGTCCCTGTATCCAATAACAGTACTGAATGATGTTTTATGTGCAAAAAGGAACCAGACGATTTTCCTTCCAGCCTCGCTTTGGTTACGTTGATTTGAATGGGAAAACATCATGATGGCCGCAACATGATAATGGTCTATAGATACAGACTGCAACCGCGCCATTGCGCTCATGTTGCATTCCAGGATGAGCTATAGTATCGATTTAAAAAAAAAGTGTACTCCATAATTTGTACTCCCGAGTACTGTACTGTAGGAGTCGAGTACTGAGTCCAAACCAATGAGTCCGTGCCAAAATTTGAGTACAAAGAATCAAGTATGGGCCAAATCCAAGTAATTTTCGAGTACTGATAGTTGAGTACCGGCCGAGTACTTGCGTGTACTCGAGTTGTACTCGAGACGAGTACGAGAACTCCAACTCGGCCCAAACGTCAATCAACATAGTAACGATTACTTGGGCTACAAACAAAGTCAAGACGTTCAGGGATAAAATGACGTCATCATTTTCAAACCTTACATAGTTATCTGCGGTTAATCAAAGAATATAAAGGGAAAATGAAAATTTGGCAAAATTTGCATGGATGGTTTTAACATGTAAGGAAACTCTATTTGATGTTCCGCTAGAGGGCGCCCTTTCAGATGATGACGTCATCATGCTGGTTTTTGTGTCTGGCATTCGTCACTAACCACTTCCATAATTTACCCATAAAAAAATGCAAATTGCTCAGATCAGGTGTAACAGGGACATAAAAGAGTGTCACACTTTTGGACCCTATATTTATGCAACAACCCATGACCATAGATGCACTTGTTAATTGAAGAAATGAAAAATCACCAAAATTTAAGTCGGTATTGAAACTAATGATTTTCAGGAAGTTAGGTGCTTTTAGCATGGAATTGAGTACATGTAGGTTTAGTCAGGGTTTGACTTTAGTGGTAGCCCGCTAGCCAAATGCTAATCAAAACAGCAGCGGGCTAGTCAAACTATTCCTTAAGTAGCCCGGCTGGCGAGTGAAAAATTATTGGGCTACAGCAAAGATGAAAGGACAGGAAGAAATAAATCACTACATTCAGAAAGCAAACCTGTATCAATTTGTGTAAAATTTTATTATTTGTGTAGGGTTAAATTATTCGATCTGTTTATTAAAAACACGCTAGACAAGATTGCCTCAGGATACACGTTTTACATGTTTGCACATTGTTGTTTATGAGACACTCTAAAAAAGAAAAACATGCGGGCTGGTGAAAAAGCCCGCGGGCTACATGTACAGTTAAGAGTCTGTTTCATTAGCCCGACCATGCCGACTGGCTAGTGGGAAAAAAAAGTTAAAGAGGTTGTGGAATGCTCCAAGACATTTCCGTCATTTTTCGGGTATATGTAGCCTAAGGTGTGATGAAATATAAACGACTATTGTGTCTGTCATTAAATGAGTACAAAAGGTACTTTTGAGAGCTGTTTTTCAGGTCCTGTTTCAACCCGAACGTGCAATTTGTGTAAAAGTCGTCGTTGGGGGCAGCAAACAAAACATAGTAAATCGTGACGTAATAAACAAGGACTCATTTATACTACGCTGCATCGGGAGTGGTTTAGATTTGCCCAAGCTACAACATACCATATTATGTACATGAAGCCTATGTTCATCAGGACCATAAACTTACCTTGAATACAGTGCATTTCTTGTATGCAAAAAAAAAATCATCAATACTTCAATAGCAGTATTCAAGTATTCAATGACAGGTGTCAGTCTAGCCACTAGCATCTCAATTAATCCATAAACTGTCCTGCATGAAAAGTGAAACTAGATGTACCTCAAATATATCAATATTCAAGCATGACGTGTGCAGTGTTTTCAACACCTGTAACAACAGCTGTTTGTTAAGACCACTTTGTTTAGGCGAGAATCAAACAGAAAGTTATGCAAAAAATAATTGCAATGTCAATAAATGCGTGTGTGTGGGTGTGTGGTATGCCGTCTCTTTTTGTGTCGCCTAAATGTTTTCTAATTCCACGTCCATCTGTAAATTGTTTATTTTTTTTCATGTTTGTTTTAGTCCTCTTTTTCTGTTTGGTATACATGTAAAGTATTTGTTTTATATTTTTATCTTTTCGATGTTATATATTTTTTTAAATTTATATATATTTTTTAGTGAATAAGCCTAATATATTTCTGTTTGTAATTTTATCATAAATTTATATTGTAAGATACGTTTAATTTTTTACTCGGCCTGTAATTGGCGGCTATTCGCTATTGGCTGAGAGAAATAAATAAATAAAAAATTGAAATAAATGCAACGAGGTGAAAATAGAGAGACATGTGGAAAAGTTGGAGCAGAGTATGGTACTTGTGACTTTCAGCTTCCTTTTTATTTTTATTATGTATTTTTTAAAGATTTTTTTCATGTTTTGGGGATCTACAATGTACAAGACTAAAAGTTGGATGAATACATGTACATGTAGGTTTGAAGTCAGTCTAGCGCCGGTCTGAAGTTGAGCCATTTGATACAGGCGTAGACAGTGTGCAGCCAATGGCTTTGTTCATTTTGTTATACATTTCTCATACACCATTCAGCGGTTTGATACATTTCTCAATCATAAACACGACTACACAGTTGCTCTAGTGGCTTACATGTATTTCTGGACCATTGACAATGGTACGCCCCCGCGTACACTGACTTTTTGACTGCCCCCCCCCCCCAAATTATTTCCTTGCCCCCCCCCCCCCCCCCCAATTGCTTTCTTAAATTTTAGAGTCTGGCGCTGCCACTGATTACATTTAAAGGGAAAATACAACATTTGCAAACATCAAAAAATAAAACTACCAAATCATTTTGAAATACCTTGCTGGACTGTTAGTGAATGACAGTGTAAAGCATCCTGTAAAATCATGGCACCTGGTATACTGTCATTTTCAAGAAAAGTGGTATTTTTGTATCAATTTCCAACGCTGATCGGCCGATCAGTGTTGGGAAAAACTGGCTTTTTTTCAAATACTGGCCCCAATTGACCATCGCACTTGTTTGCAATCGATTACAAACCTATGAACGGGTACGAGCCAGCTAGACTGGTTCCCTGACCTTACAATTCCCCAATGTATGTAAACTGCTCTGTTTCTTCTTATATGGAAGCAGGGAACCAGACTATAGAAAAATGATTGTTTTTCTTGGTTTTTATAGCATTTTCGAACCCAAAACCTCAAAAAAGTCAGTGTAACTATATTTGCTATATATTTCCAACCCCCCCAATTCCATCCATTTCTGAAAATGACAGTAAATGATGTATATTCCCTTTAAGGCCCAGTGTTTACTGAATCCTGCAAACAAGATGCAGTGCCTCGCTCGTCACTTTTTGTTGTCATCATGGTCATGACTGATAGCTGAATTGGAACTTCCAGTGAAATAACGGATAACCATTATTCAGTTTGAAAAAAAAAGAGAGGATATTACCGGATTTTGAAATATCTGATTTCTCACACCATTACTTTGGGGTTCTCAGTGCAAGCCATATGCACATACTGATTTAAGAACTTCAAATCCTATAATATGTGTATGTGTTCTACATCACCCCCGAGGACCGACACACAAAGGGAGGACAACAGATCCTTTCAGTCCTCGGACGTTGGGTCTTTTGTTCAAAACGGTCCTCTGTAGTAAGTTTGTGTGCTTATAGTCTATGGGAGAGTGTTATATTACAGGGACAAAGGGAAACACAAAGCATTGTCCTCGGGAGTATAGTAAAACAAGAGTACATGTACATGTATGAGGCCAAAGTTGAAAGAATACGTGTCCATTTGGTTTGGAAATAAATGGTTTTGAATGGAATTCTTATGCAAGAAAAGCCAAAGCTGGAGAGGAGGCCGAGATTTTGAAAACACCCTTATTGTAATTTTTATCTGATGTCTACGCCCACTGATCTCTATATAAAGACTGGATAGCGGATATGCATACAACATTCACACTGTAGACTTTGCATATTGACCGATTCGCCCCCGGTCTCACGAAGATGGCCGCGTATAATACGAACGTTCTACGCGTAAATACGCGCGCGTTGTATCAACAGTTGACGCGCATTTTGGTCACGTACACATATTATGATGTTCTAAAAGGGACACATTTCCGTAGTGATTATTATTTCAAAACGCCGAAAAAGTGATATTTGCGGCATTTTAGTAACCACGACATTAGAAAAACTGTAGTTAACCTCGGTCAGTGGTGGTGGTCAAAATATAAGTCAAGTGAACCGCGACGTTACAAAAGAAATCATGCTGTCTATAAAAACGGCAACTTGTCCTTTGTAGATCACCAGCCGGTCTCACCAATATGGCGTCAAATTCGTACATTGTGCGGCTCTGTATTAGCTATCCAGTCTTTATATAGAGATCAGTGTCTACGCCTAAGCTTGAGACTGGTACCTGGCACTCACAGTTTTGTGAAATGCCTGTTTTCTTTACTTAGGGAATATGACAGCTTACTCCGAGGCAGCTTGGGGCCCAGACAAGGGACTGAATAACGGCAAAGACATGCAGTGGGGCGGTGGTTCACTCTTTGTCTCCAACCATGAAAAAGCAGACGCAAAAACAGGTAATTAGGATATGTGTAGATTAATCTGCTAGACAATATTTTTTTTTGAAAAACAAGAGCATTCAAATGGTGTATGTAGCATAAACAAGGGCGGATTCAGGGGGGGGGGGTGCTGAAGGGGGCCATGGTGTCGCAATAAAGGCAGGCAATGGGTTCACCACCATCTTTTCCTCCAAAAACATTGGTTAAAGTGGTCAGAAATTGCCTCAGATCGCCCCACAGAGCATCTAGAATCCAAAAAAATTTGGGGGGACCAGAAATTTTTGGCCCTCCAAAAAATTGTGTTCTGGATCCGCCCTTGAGCATGAAGGGGCACTGAGTTGAGTAACGGTAATATATAGACCACCAATTTGATTCTTGAGAAAATGGCATTTTAACATTCTGCAGTTGTGTTCCCTAGTGAGTGAACTGATGAGTCAACTGATAAAATGGGATGAAAATAGGTTTTAAAGATATTTGATGGAACAAAAACAATTGGAGAAAGGTAGAGCGGGACTTAGATATATAAAGGTTTGACCGAAAACAAAAAAAATCAACCACCCCTTCAAATCTTGGTTATGCCCCACTGTCAACTGTACTGCAAAATGGCGATTTCCAACTTCTCATATCATGGTGATGGGTCACATATGTCCTTGTCTTGAACAGGTGGTGTTCGCAAGCTGTCTTACCGCAAGCTGATCCCAACGGTAGACCTGGCCAGATGGATCAAGGATACTTTTACTCTAGAAGATTACATCATTCTCAAGCTGGATGTTGAAGGGGCTGAGTACGATATACTCCGCAACATGGTGGACCACGGCGCATTTGATTACATTGACAAGTGAGGCAGGGTTTTCAACCCAGTCATTTGTTATTATGTTCTCTTTTTTTTTCTTGTCTTTTCTTTTTGACGAATGTTTACAAATGGTTTACATACATGTATTGTTGGAGCAGGTATGCCAGTTTTCGAGCGATAACTGAATTCAGGCTTTTCATGTTTTGAAGAAAACTCAGGCATTCCATCCCTACACAGGCCGGAAAAATCAATCCGCGAGTAGCACGCACAGAGAAAACAATTTTGCATGCAATGCCCCATTGCCATCACCATGCTACCGGTAGCTTGATACATGGATTCATGAATTGTAAGTCCAAACTCCAAAGTAGACATATACATGTACACGTCTGTGGTATTGATCTGATACACCGTGCCCTCTCGAGACATGCACACAATAGGGACCAAAGATTGTATGCGTCTCCACAGGGCAATTTCTATAGATGAATACGTCTCCACAAGGTTTTCACGAAAAAGATATATGCATTTTACTCATAAACTAGGAATTTCCAAGGTATGTTGATCTGTTGCAAATGGTAGAGTTTTAGAAAAGGGGTATTAAGTCCGAATTTCAGCCAAGGAAATTAATTCTGGTTAAAATAAGAGCATTTTGAAACTGTACTTTCAAACTCGAAAACTTTAGTACACGAGAACAAAGAAATGTCTCCACAATGATACAAATTTCAGTATGGGTGCAGTGAGTTTATGGTGTATTGCACTCGTTTTGTGCATTTTGCTGGCTTTCACATAGTACTTTTTTCAAGCCCTGGATCACAAACCCACTGGAACCCTAGTGGGAGGCTGTTGAATAACTTACAACTGTAGTGCTTGTGTTGCACCCTCTTCGTATTATGAAGGATGTCACTGTTTCATTGTGAAGCACTGCATACTGTGCAAATCACTTTCTAGGAATTGCTACTCTCTCTCAATTTTGGATTAAACAATTTTTTTTTTTTTTTAACAAGGCTTACAAAAGTGTGTGTGTAAATGGGACTTCACCGGAACAATGGAGAGCAGATACTTTAATTCATTATACAAATATTGAGTGGCTTAGAGTAAAATAGGAGGAACATTATCGCAAGTTAAAATCTGGACTTTTCCATTTCACGAGGTGAAGCCGAGTGAATTGGAAAAGTCCAGATTTTACCGAGCGATAATATTCCTCTCATTTCACAATGTAAAGCCACTCAATATTTGTTTTATATAACTGGCATACAGGTATAGATTCTTGTCATTTGATATATTTGAACTTTTATTTCAATACAAAATTGGTGGAAAAAGTATTTCTCTCTTCCAAACCACCCCTTCACGAAAACGTTTGAACCCAACTCTGTAGCGCTGGCTCTTTGGAACAGTACATGTTACTTGCAACGCTGAACGTGCACACCAGCATGCATTTGCACACATATACCGCGTCATGGAACAAGAATGATCCTACCGGTACCTGTTGAATACAAAGTAGTATTTCCCATTCCCCATGGGCGAATGGGACTTTTTTAGCCCTGGCGTGAATGGGAGCACTAACGAATGTCACATGATGTGAATTCCACTCATCAAATGACAAGGATCTGTACATGTATGTCAGTTATATAAAAAGTACTAGACCGTGATTAAAAAATTGGATGTTGTTGTCACGTGATGTCAAGTTTCAGCAAACGGATTGTTTAAAAGTGTTGACATACACTGTTTTATGTTGACCAAATAACATGCAAAAAGATGCTTAAATGTTTGGGTTGCGTAGCGGTTGCCTGGCGGTCTGATGTAACAGGTCACATATATTGTCCTGTATAAAATTCTTTCTTCTTCACCTGTAAAAAGTGCACCTTTTACTTCCTTTGCTTTTTGCTTTCACTTTGGGCACCTCATCAATATGGCTGTTGACGTCACCTCTGCACAACATCCCAGTTTAGCCCAAATTGGGTTGCGATGGGATTACTCTACCAAGTACCAAGTACATGGTCTATACATAGGAAGCCTTTAAGTTGAAAAGGGTCACCAACTACAGTTTGGTTGCATAACGTAGTATGAATTGCAACGTTGTCTTGGTGCTCGGCTGTTGTTGCAGGTATTACGGGGAATATCACGACAGCCAGCCCACGGGCTGGAGCAAAGCCGACAAAGTCAAGTTGAGGGAGGACATCAAGAACGCAGGTTTCACCATGATTGACTGGGTGGGAGAGCGGAGAACCTATACAGACTTTGAAAGCATACACACTGTCAAGGTACGGTACAGTCCCCACTGCCATTGAGTGGCCATCTAAAAGTTGCCAACATGTTTTGATGCAGTAGTATTCACTGCATAAAATTTACTTGGCTCAGAGTTGAAGGTTTTGATTTATGGTCACTCTGAATTGCATGTCATGTGTTTCAAACCTGTAAAAGAATCTAATCAAATTGATAAGTGAGTGAAGGAATACTATTTTTTAGGGAGCTGAGTATGTGTGTGTGTTTATTTGTTTTAAACCTCCTAGGCAATCATACATTCTGTGCCAAGTTGTCCTTGCAGTCGAAATCCATCAAAAGACTGTTTTCAACAGTTGAGAATTCCCAGCCTGCATAAAGCAGGATTGACTGGCTGGGACTGCTTAACTAACTTGATACAGCTGCTTTGACTCTGGGTGCGTGATAAAACAGCTGTGACCACAACTTGCCTGCTTTGTCTGTTGACCCAGTACGATCTGACTGCTGGTGACTGGCCTTTGTTAAAAGTAAAGCAGGGGAACTGAATTTTGACTGACTGTGACTGTTTAAACAGCAGGAGGGTTAATTGGTCAAGTACTGTATAATTTGTACCTTAAATTGTGCCAAGTTTGTTGTCTTTTTTTGGATTCTTGTTTGAGACAGGAATCATTAAACATATTTGTGTCCTTGGGCAAGCCACTTTGCACCAATTTGTGCATCTCCACCTGCAGTGGACTGGACATAAGAATATAAATCAAGAAAGGTAGATTGGGTTCCATAAAATCTGTGTACATGTATTTTACTTGTTTTCCTCGCAATGAAAGGTACCAGCTGGCACTCCAGGCACAGCAGGTCAAATTTATTCAAGATGCAAGGAGGGCCAAGTCGCCCTAGTGGTTGCCGTGGGGATGAACCTAAAGCGCGCCCACAAGGTGGTCGCCACGCTGGCCGGGTACCAGCCGGCCCTCCCCATCACCCTGTTTTTGTACGGCGACTTTGTGGAGCAGCATCCGGAGACAGTGAAGGCGTGGTCAGAGCGGTTTCAGATCGGGATCCGGGAGGATGGGCCCAGCCCGCCAGGTCACTTGGAGCTCATGCCGTGGGAGTGGCATAGGATGGGCTTGGTCAGCGCTATTTTGAGGCTTGAAGAGATTGGCATCTCCACAGCTTACTACCTGCCGACAGTCCAGGGTACCATCGACGCCAAGTTTAGCACCACGGCTGGTTCCCGGGGTTTACGGGTGATCCAACCTTCTGTAGAGTTCCCTGCAAAGTCTGGTAAGATTTTAGACTTTTCTTTAAGGCACTGATCAAAAAGCACTACATAATGAAAAGTCTTCACTATTAGTATTAACAGTTTGTATACTATTAACTCAACTCTGACTCTTAGCATCACAATCTTAGTTTTTCTTTTCAGAAAACCACAAGCATGACAAGGAAGTCAGTCTGTACAGGGGAATTGTGAACATGCCGTTAAACTCAAGTTTTCGTTTATCTTGAGTTGTTACTAAATTGTTACAGTGACCAACTCTAAATTGCAGCTTCTGAAGAGGAACCACAGCAACAATTTTTCTTTTTTATGATTTTAATTCTAATTACAAATCACCATTTCGTCTTTCAAATTTTAATGATTTGATATCATGAGCACTAATATCATTTTGTGTTGTCCTTGCATATTTTGCATTTATTATTGAATGAATTGGAAATAAAGTAAATTTAAATTAAAAGATAAAAAGTGTGGCATTTTTTTTTCGGGGATATGCAGTGCCCTTTAGTATAATGCCCAATTATACAACTAAGAATTTTTTTTTTTTTGGTCTCTCACGAATAGGATCTAACAAGTTGACGTTTGAAAATTACTACAAGTATCGGGACGTGGAGCGGGTCCCGAAAGCCCTGCGTGGGATTCACGAGGGTCTGGTACAGAACAAGGGGGGAATCTTGAGTCTGGACACGGACCTACCAGACACCTATATGAACTCTGTATTCCTGATGGACTACTTAGTGGAAAACTCCGGATTCAAGCTGGTGTATTTACCGGAATGCATTGCCGGCTAGGAGTAAAAAAAACAAAATTATATTTGTTGTTTTTGCCTTTTCATCCATTTGTTGAATCCGTTTTTTTTTAATATGGCAGTTTACAGTAGGTGTTTGAATGCTTGAAAGGTCAGCAGATTTGTTGATGATTCTAAGATCAAAGGATGAGCCTGAACACTGTTTTGCACACGTGTGCTTTTTGAAAATGATCTGCTCCGTATAGTATTTTCGCATATATACCAAAGCATGTCCACATTGTGCAATCTTGTGGAATGTGGAATTTTTTTTGTATTCCATCTGGTTTGAATTCGTTTGTTTAGTAAAAACCTCGCCAGAATTGTCGAGGCTGTTTTGGTAAGAAGTCCATGCAAGCAGAAACCACAGAGCTACAGAGTTAGACGTGTAAAGGTGTGTGTATTTTGCAACCGCCTGTCTGCTTTACATGTATAGCAATTGTTGAAGCATTTCTGTGTTCATGAAAACTAAAAGACTTGGTGTTCACATTTTGCGAGCCTGCAGATTGGCAGGGCACCCTGTGCAATATGAGGCCATGTTTATTGACAGTTTTGGGCATTAGTTCGTACATTAAATTTACGAGTGGTGTTTCCCAACGATGGCGGAACACATTTGAATGTGTGTTTGGGGGGGGGGGGGGAGGGGGGAGGGGGCATTGCACCGCCAGTGCTAATTCGAAAAGCGGAGGGAAAAAGTTCCACCATCAGTGGTGTTGCCTCCATTTGACAGTGCAATGTGAGACACAACTCATTCAGTAGACTTGATGACAAGTCGTTAGATAGTTGTATTTTGTCTGTGAACTTCAGTCGAACTCCATCGGTGCGGCTGGTATAAGACTAGTACTAATCGGCCGGGCTGCGACATATCTAATGACTTGAAGGCTACGTTCTCCACCGTTATTCATATATTAATGCGGTGAAGTGCAATATATGCAGTGCATTATTGCGGTGAGATTCAATGGCACACTGCAATGCAAATGAGGACTCGTTCATTCCTTCACATGGGTAGTTCTTCTCAATACGTCGGGACATGTTTGCAGATCGGCCTTGGCCAATCATTCACCTTGGCCAATTGCGTATAGAAATAACATGTTTCATTGTGATATACAATGTACTTCATTTATTTGAGTCATGTACATGCATGCCCTATAACAAATTTTGGAATGTTTCACAACACAAGCCACAAACCCTCGAAGTAATGAGGAAGACCTTCCGTTGTGGCCTAGAATACACGCTGGAATCTGAACCAATCAGAGTGCTCGCATAGAATTCGCTAGCGATTCAAAATACTACCATATGTTGTGTACAAAATAGAAAACGTTTTCGCCAAGTCGGTTATTGAACATCAATAGTCAGCATCATTTGGTCTGGGAACCATGCTTCGTGCATTGCAGTGATATTTTGCTTGGCACCAAGTCTACTCATTCAGTGAATTTGTTCTCTGTCTAGAGTGAATTTCAATTGGGAAGATGCTGCTGTTCCACAGTATTGCTTTTTACCACCACAAGGTGTTTTTGGTGGAAAGCTCTTGGCTTGTGTGTATAATTCTTTTCAATATACAACCCCCCCCCCCTTTTCACATTCCCGCAGATTCGACAATTAATTATGCATCTTGACCTCCAGATTCTGACCATTCAGCAGGCGCCTTCAATCGGGTCGTCCGTAACCCATTATTGTGTTACAAAAACATTGCAGCCAAATTGACCAATCGGCAGCTTAGTCCACATTTCTGATCGAAACGACGTCACAGCTTCAGAAGTCGACTCCGATTGGCTGGTGCGTGGGGTCGCATAAAATTTGCATAAAATTTGCATGACGTTTGTCATGAAGCTCGCTGAGCGGCACCCGTGAATGTCTGTTCCTCAGCGCCCCACCTCCGGCATTTAGAAAAAAGATTGATCATTGAATAAAGGATTTTGTGGTGCAGTGTTTGGTAACGACAGTGGTATCATACCAATTGATACATGTATGACAACACTGACAACTGGCTATAGGCTTTTGAAATCTGCATACATTCATTTTTACATGTGGCAATGTGGTGGGGCATGCCTAAGGCAGGGTATTATTTACAATGTACATCTACATGTTAAATGCCACCACAAGCATTTCCCATTGAAAGGCCTATAGTGAGAATACATGTACACATGTTCATAGTATGTATCTCTTCAGATCTCGGTTATTATTGAATTACCTTGCCCTTAGACTTTTTCCTCCCTTTTAACAGGGAGGTGGATTTTTAAAAAATATTTGTTGAAGTGAAAGTTATATGTTTTAATATGTAGTATGTGTGAACGTTTTCGTGATTTCAGAGAGCGTTTGAAAAGCTGTATGGGTAGTGTAAGAAAAAAAGTTTTTATTTATGATATAATTTAGTGATCAAATAGTGTGTATTTGTATTAGAAATTGATCAAGATTGGTCACGGTGATTTGTATAGTTGTAGAACACAGTTGTGTGAAAACAGGGTAGATTGTGTTTTTAAAAAAGTGTTTTTATTTAAGACATAATTTATAGTGATCAAATAGTGTGTATGTATTTGTATTAGAAATTGATCAAGATTGGTCATAGTGATCTGAATAGTTGTAGAACACAGTTGTGTGAACACAGCTTAGATTGAAACACCTATGGCTAGGTTCACTTCATTCGCACATATTTTATCGATAATTCTCCCAACAGTACAAACATCTCTTTTGCTGCAATATTTGAACAGTTTTGTGTGCTATTTTCAAGTTATGCTTTGCTTTCTTTTTGTATGTAAGGTATGGAAAAAAAGTCTCAATACATATTTCAGCTGTTGGGCCTTTTCAGCTTGACATTTAGAAAGAGATGAACAAGGTTTTCCCCCTTTTAGAGAATTAAAAATTCTCTCAAAACAGTCAATACAGACTGTTAACCATACTTATTTTTGCAACAAATCCATACTTGCCACAGAATTGGTTTAGGCATTATTTTTTTTTCCTTAATGTCTTCCACTGTTCATTTTTTTCTTCACTTGTTTTGACTTGATGACCTTGATTTTAAAAGGGGGGAAAACTTGAAAGTCAAAAAAAATATTGGACAGCATGCAACGGGGAATTTCTAGTGCTGAATCCTTTGAGAAAGAGGTAATTAATTTTAGCATACATGTATACAGCCCTTTGCTGTTATTATACAGCTCTATATGCGTGGAACTTACGGCTGGTAAAAAGGTGGATGATTTCACCACAACTTTGACAATTGACAGTATTCAATATTCGGTATGCAGGGGGCTACATGTATAGGTATGCAGGTGAATTTTAAAACAGAGTTCTTATTGGAGTCGGGGATAATAGTCGTATTTAATCCCCAGTATCAGATCCTTGCAGGGATATATTTTTTGTGTGAAATGCCCTGTTGGCAAATTATTACTGTATATTTACCAGCAGGGTAGTGGATATGAGTGTTTACATGTTTGTATTTGGAAGAACTGCTTTTTTCCTACATAGCCACGGAATGCTCTGTTGATTTGCAGAGGTGTTTCGTAGAGTTGTATTCAAATCCTAAGAAATCCACACGGGTCAATCGCGCGCATGTGTCCCAGTCAGGAGTCAAATACAAGACACATGTAACAGTGGAATATGCGACCAGAATTGGAAGCTTTTACTGCAGTGGTGTCACGCTCACACGCATGCTGTACGCGTTCACGCGCATTTTAGTATTCCTATTGGTCGAAGGAGCCCGGAGTGCGTTAGTGTAATACCGACCTTGGTAAGGGCGACCGTTTTAGCCGAATTTTCGGCTAAATTTGACAATTTTTTTGGGGGGGGGGAAACGAGTTTGATCAAATCTAGCAGAATAAACTTTTTGAGCAGATTTCTAGCAGAATTCTGTAAAATTGGTGATTCCGACAGAAAAATATAGCAGATTTGAAAAAAATATCTTCAAGAAAATGGCTGCCGCCAGATTTGTCTATACCACTGCAACCTTTGTTGTTATTTTATACCCCTGAAGGCCTCCTTGTACTTTTGACCTTAACATTGTCAATGTTGTGCACGAACTTGACAGCTATGGCAACACATACGGTTACCCATTGTGTCTCATATTTTGAGCCTGTGGGACATGTTGTGTTTGTGCTTTATTCATGGACACTACTACGCTATTTGCGTTATACCATGAATAGAGTCATTTCTTGTTTCTCTATAGCTATACAAGGGAATTTTTGTGTGGTACATGTGTACACACTCGTCTTTTTCAGTTGTAAAGCAGCAGCTCACTATTTGGGCTGACACGCCTGTACAAAGTTATTGTGTTTCAGATGTGGTGTTTTTCTTGTTTCGGTAATGTGTATGTATTTGTGATAGAATCTTGTTTCTCATACAGGGCAAACACTGTATGTACCTTATGGCTGATCAGTTGTAACGAGACTTAACCAACACTTCTTGCCGAGGCTGAACCAAATTTTTACTACACGTATACCAAAATGTATACCGTTGGTTTTTTACCCCTCAGCCGAGAGGCTCGAGGGGTGTTGTTTTTTACTGTATATATTATAGTTAAACGGGTCTATTATAATAATATAGGCTACAATGTGTATTACACTTAAGATGGAATTTTTAGTCGGGGGTGGTATAAATCAAACATCGGTGAAGGGCAAAACCTAATTTGATTTATATTACACTTACACCAACAAAGCGTGTACAAAAACAATTTCAGTGTATCATAACATCAGGTATGTTGCATGCCAGTTTACTATGTACAAGTACATTGTTTGTAATTGTTAACATGTTATGAGAAGTTGTATATTCTAAACAGTATTAGAGGTTGGTACCTCGGGTTATTGAACGTGATTCTGCACTCATTTCGCAAAGGCTGAATATGTCATTTACCGACAGGGTCCCTATCCGTAGTGAAATTATTATCAGTGTTTTCTGTGCAATCTGCATACAGGATATTCACAGACAACAAGAATGTAATAGTGAACAACCACATGGTTTTTATACTTATCTCATTCATTCATTCATTCATTCATTCATTCATTCATTCATTCATTCATTCATTCATTCATTCATTCATTCATTCATTCATTCATTCATTCATTCATTCATTCATTCATTCATTCATTCATTCATTCATTCATTCTTTATTCTTTATTACCACATCTTATTTCATTATGTGACAAGGCATAAATACATACATGTAGTTTTGGATAATATAAAGTTCGAGCTTGTTTTACAAAATATATTTATACACTTGGACGCATTATTTTTCTAATTAGAGATGGTGGAAGGGGATCCCCAAAAAGCAGAGCTTGTCGAGTAGAGATCCCCTTTAACATGG